AACTCCTTGATTTTCTGGTCTGTGGTATGCACACTCCCACCAGGGCCCACTCCTAGCTACCAGCCTGATGTCAGTGAATGTGGAATTGGCCACAGCACAATACTGGAGCTGTTTGGCTTCCCTGGGGAAGACTTGATTCTGCACCTTCTCTTAGCATGACCAGAAGGCTAACATTAGAAAAGGATGTGCCAGTCTTCATAAGGAAAGAAATAGCATTGTAAAATGTTTAACCAAGAAACAAGCTGTTCTTATCAGGTTAGCATGTTCATCTGGTTTGAGATAAAAGAAATATGAACCATTAACTGTGTAGGTAAAACTAACAAGTCTTTAAGGTGAAGTTCACCTTTTTTATGTGCTACACTAGAGAACTCAAAATGTTCATCCATAATGGTGTGGTTTCTGATAAGTGAAAGAATTTAGAAATATGGAAGTTCTATGGGGTTCTTATGTATATCCTGTATTCCATGGATCTTTTTTCTATTCTAAGAAAGAGAAGATGTCTTCATGAGAAAAATCTACCTTGTCAAATCATGTGCCTAAAGATATAAATCTGGGCATATCTACAGCAAATTAGGATCTTTGCAGTTTGACATGATATGATTGAAAGTGTTTCTTGGATCCAATATACATGTATTTCTAGTGGAAAGGAAGGGAAGATGGGAGAGAGAACTCCATTAATTGGCTCATTTTGGAATGAAAATATTAAAGAAGACAAACTAGCCTAAGCCTAATGAGGGAAATTGTTGACTTATAGAGCCAACCATAGGAATGATAATACTGCTGACTTTGGAAACAAGACCCAATGCCACAAGACCTCCTCCATCCATTGAACCAATTTCTCTCCATAGCTAGTCTTTATTGACACTTTCCTGCAAATGTCAGCAGTGGATGAAGAGGTGAAGTAGATTCTCTTGTGGTGGTTAATATATATTTATGTGTCTGTCTGTTTATCTATTAGATTCTAGTCAAAGAACCTAGCATATAAAACAGCTCTCAGGGAGAAATTGCTGAGGTATTTTCACAGTAAATTTGTGTCTGTTATATTCACATGAGCATATGAGTAAAATACATTCACTATGGATGGTACTACGTGATTCCACAATTACCTATTGAACCAAGCTTGTTAATTGTATCACCCAAATTATCTACCTCCCTGCTTATTTTCACTTTATCAGTCAAAAATCTAAAATATGCTAAAATCTCCCATAGATTTTCCCATTTTTTCTTAGCTATAAACCTTATGCTGAGCCTTAAGCCTTAGAATTATAAGTTATATGCCTTACCTTGCTTGATCTGCGGTTTATGAGTATGGTTTGGGAAGTCATACCTGTTATTATATAAAATCACTCCTTCTTTTCATCAGTGCTTTTGGTCTATAATGCAGGGATTAATATTATCATTCTGCATTCTGTTGTTATTGTTGTAGTTGTTATTGTCATTCTAACTTTTTTAGCCCAATCTATTTTTTTTTAATTTTGATGGAGAATTCAGTTTAATAGCCCATTTAGTAATTATTGATTGCTATATTATTTTTTGTTTATTGTTTGCTGACTCTGTTGGGCCTTTTCTCTTTTTCCCCCTGTTTTTAAAACTACTAATATGGAACCTCTGTTTTTCTATTGTTCACTATAATATATACAGAAATATTTATTGATCAATGAATCAAATTCAGTAATGATGGCAACCCCATTAGGACAGCCTCCTTTCCCATTTTACTCCTTAACACCTCTCTCTACCAGTTCAGGCCTGTAGATTCCTTCCTTCTTTATTCCCTCTTTCTTCTCTATACAGTTACTGGGGTTTACTGAATAACTGAAAGCTTTTAATTGCAAGTTTTTATTAAACATTCACACATACATATAAACTGAAGAATTTGTTATAATTTCTATTCTGATTCTTATGAATTATCATCAAGTGAGTTTTGAAAGTTGCTTTACAGTACTTATTGTATTGTTCTTTCCTCTTTTTGGAAGGAAGAGATTTGCTGCTGATGGAATTTTCATGAGGTTGGAGCATTTCCTTGATATTTTCTTCAGATACGATGTCAGTACATGGGTGGCATGTTTTCTGAATTCTTGAATGTTGAACACCATTGTGCTTTTTCCTTAACATTTGAGTGTTATATTGGCAGTTACAAAGATTCCTGGATCATAGTCTTATTCTTTTAGTAGTATAGTCAGATAATCTTCCTTTTGTAAGAAAACTGTTTTTTGTTCTGGGTAGAAGAAAGATTTTTTCATTAGCATTGGAGGTCAGACATTTCCCCTGATTATGTCTAGGTGTGTGGCTTTTTGTAAAATTAATCCTGTTGAGTCTTTTAGAGCCCATTCAGTAAAAGGCACACGTCTTTCTTCAACTCAGGGAATTTTTATTCTATTATTTTCATGATTATCATCACTTCTGTCCCATGCTCCATTTTTCCATATAAGGAATGCCTTTTCTTTGCATATTATGTCACCTGGATCTTCTTCTAAATCTCTTACTTTGTCACTAATTTTCTTCTTCTTTCCCTTTTTCATTTTATAATCCAGACAAATAATTAAGTTCTCAGCTGTTGCTACTATTTTTTAATTCTTCTATTTGATTATAGAACTCTGGAAATCATTATTGCTAATTTAACCAATTATTATTTTTATTTTATAATTGTATCTCCTAGAGAATACTCATTATATTTAAATTCACACTCTTTTATCTCATTCATCAACTCTTCCTTAATAGTAGCTCACTGTTCAGCTTGACCTCTTGCCTACAATGTACAGAGTCCAGGAAATGTATAGTGATTTTGCTTTGACTTCCCTGTAAGTAAGTTTTTTTAAAGAGAGAGGGGGGCGGAGAAAGTCAGGATTGAAGGTTCCATTAAGCTGAAGGTTGTGATTTTCAGTGGGTTTTTCTGGAGCTAGCACTTATGTATTGGCACATCTGAACTGATTCATTGAGAATGGTAGGAGGTTGGGTCCTAAGATGCTCTAGGGGGAAGTGGCACAAAGTTAGTTCTTCCCAAAATATGAATACTTAGAGCAATTTATCTCTTCTCTGAACCTCTTCCCAATTCTCCCAGGACTGTCTGCTCAGCAGAATAAGGTGGCTCCCCAAAGACTGTTGAAACTTGAGCAGTCCTGCTATTCTGGTATTGTTTGCACACCCAGTGTTATACTTTGGATGTGAGGTGTCGTCCAAAAGCTCTTATGTGAGACAATGCAAGAAGGTTGAAAGGAGATATGATCAGGCCATGAGAACCTTAATCCAATCAATGAACCGGTTTGTGATGGGATTAACTGTGTGGGGCCTGAAGGCCAGCCAGTATGGTGTGGTTAGAGGAGGTGGGTCATTGGGGGCAAGCCTTTGGGGTATATATTTTATAGATAGATAGATGGATAGATAGATAGTAAGTAAATGAAGTCTCTCCCTGATTTCTTATCATCATGTGAGCTGCTTTCCTCCATAACACTCTTCTGCCATGATGTTCTGCCTCACCTCAAATCCTAAGGAATGTAGCTGACTGTCTATGAACTAAGATCTCTGAAACCATGGGCTCTCAAATAAACTTTTCCTCCCCTAAAATTGTTCTGGTGAGGTATTTTAGTCACAGCACTGAAAAAGCTAACTAAAACACCCAAGAATATGTTGCTAGACCTTTGCAGTGGCCAAGGAATCTGCTGTATTAGTACCCTCCCTGCTGGGACCTAGGCCTCTCTTGTTCTCCAAGGTGAATGGAGCCTCACAATTGCTGTCTTCTTTGGAGGACTCAAAACTTCACAGGTGCCAGTGGCCTAGGTCACTATGGATTTAACCTGCCATATTGCCTATTATGTTTGGACAGGGAGTACAACAGGGATTCTGTGGTAGAGACCCACAGAGATCTGCGTTGTCATCACTGGCTCTGCTAGGAACTGTTAGTTCTCCTCAGCACTGTAACCTCATCAGCAGACAGAAGAACCCCTCTCTGACACAAAACTCTGTACTCTTGTGCTAAATCCTAGCCTAGTCACTTTTTTTTTCATATCTTACTCCCTATCTTTTACAGTTTCCATTCCTTTCTCTGTAGCTCCCTTAGTACTCTTCTACATGCACAATAAAAATCATTTTTTGATATACCTGGCAGTAGATTGTATTTTGATATAATATATATATTATATCAAATATATATATAGGAAATATAACTCATTCTAATTAGGATCCCATTCTTGTGGTTGTATTTGATGTGGAGTTACACTGGTCGTGTATTCATAAGTGAACATAAGAAAGTTGTATCTTATTTATTCTAAGTCTTTCCTATCCCCATCTCTCTTCCTTCCCTTCATTCCCCTTTGTCTAATCCAATGAATTTATAATCTTCCTCTCCCTACCCTCCCTTGTTGTGAGTTAGCATGCAATAACAATCTTGAAATAACCTTGCTGCAATCTGGTCACTTCTTGATATTGTATCACACTTGTCCATGCCCCCCGTTCCTTTCCAGGTCACCTAGAAACTGTTTCTACTTTCCAAATACCTTCAATCTAATTTTTTCTAATTCTCTTCAAAGACACTTTCAGAAATGTCACCAATAATGTTTTCCAACCTTCAACCTTCATTTCCTTCATGGAATTTGACCTTATTTACAATCTCTTGTTGAAATTATTTCCTCTCCCTTTTAAATTATATTATTCTGGTTCCTTCCCATCTCTGTGACCAATTCAGTTTCCAGCCAATTCTGGTTCATTTTCATCTTGTTCCTAAGTAAAAACCAGAACTCAGCTTTCCTGACTTCTGTTTCAATTCTCCTTCCTTGATATTAGTCAGGTATGTCACCACACTCTCTCATTCTACAAACACTGACCAATCAGCAACTATGTATAAACACCATCTGGTTTAATGACTGGTATTTGAATTGACTTGGTTCTTTAAATAATCTTTGTAATTTTTTTCAAATTGCTATAAAACTTATTTGAGCTCATTGATACAACATGTACCTGCTTAAGGTCACTGACTAGATAGTACACAAGGTATGCTTAACACTTACTTTATAAAGACTTAGTTGCTCCAATATGTCTTTATATCTTTACATCAGAATTATCCACCACCATTATCTAGTCATTCTGCAAGGTGAAAAAAACTTGTTACATTTTTGTTTTCTGGATAATTTTTACAATGTTGTTGTTACTATTGCTGCTTTAGGAAGTTTTCTTTTTAAATATAAATATTCTTCACAAGGAAAAACCATTAAGCAATTTATAACTTGATGACTTAAATACACAAAAGTGGGAACCTCAGTAACCTTTGAGAGAAAGAGAGAGAGAAAAAGACATATGATGGGTGGGACACAAGGTACTGAGGGAAGCCTCTGGATGTGAAAGGCAGGAGGAAGTCTGGGGAGCCACTTCATAGGGATGATGAGGAAAAAGGGAAGGGAAAAGAGAGTGAGAAGGAGTACATTGAGTCTTGGGGCTGCCTTGAACAGAATATGGACTCTCTTGCAATAATTTATTCTGTTCTATTTTATTTTCCAGGTTATGTTAAAATATAAGAAGTTTAGGGTTCAAGTCGGAACCTGTCTGTTGAATTGCCTGAGCAGAAGAAGTAATACAGAGGACATGTCACCATGTGGGACACAACAGAGTCAGAGAAAGAGGGCTTGCTAGATGGAGCAGGCTCTTAGAGTCTGGACAGCTTTATAGTTAATTCCACATGGTGACATGTTCAGTTGTGCTAAGGGAAGATGTACAGTCATAGCTAGGAAGCAAGATGCTATTGTAGCTATAGATCCCACCTTCATCCCAGGTTTTAAAGATATCCAAGAAAGAAAATGTGAGCTAAAAGTTCTTCCCTAGAGCATTTCTGAACATTGGAATCATTTGTGAAGCTCTTTTAAAAAGTTACATGAATGTTGTCTTTTCTGAAAATGTTCAGGAATTCTGGACGTAAGGCATCTCTGCACATATGCATGCATGTGTGTTTGTCTCTACCTCTGTGACTTTAATGAGCATTCAATGTTAAGAACAACTAAGCTGGAAATTTGATGAACTCAGATTGATTAGATAAACTCCACCATGGAAAGAAGAGGGGAGCCTCTGTTTCTGTGTTAGGAAACAAAATGCAGTTAAATTTAGGAAGCAGCCTTTATAAAAGCTGATGGCAAAGCTTCCTATGAATGCTGCAAAGGAAAGTGTCATGAAAATCAAAACGAATATTCTCTCTAGAAGCTTCCTACAGAGACAGGCATACTATCTTCTTTAAAAATCTGCATTTTTGTCCAATTTCCCTCCTCCCCTCTGCAGAATTTCCAGGACACTGTGCTCACACACTGTGGTCTCTGCTTTTCCAGTGCGTAGCAGGCTTTGTTGGTGCCTCAAGCACCTTTGCTCTTCCTTAGGCAGTGGCACAAATTTTCCTCCAATATCTGCCTAGTCAAAGTGACTTATTTTCCAAGGACAGATTCAACCAGCTCTACTGACCATGGCTGCCCAAAGTGTTCCTTTCTCTAAGCTCTGCAGTAGTGTGTACAATTTATCTTGCAGCTGTAATTTTTTGAACTCCTACAATGTGCTAAATACCCATCATATTTAAGAAATGGAACCAGGAGAACAGAAGTTTAGCTGATCTTGATCCCATATTCCTTTCTTTAGGCCAGGCTGCTGCATCTACTACCCCATACCACCTTGTACTCTGATTAAGTAAAATTTATCTTCCTCTTACCGTGCAAGATGTTTACGGCCACCTGTTATGTAATATGCATGTTATAAATCCTATAATGTCTTCCATGATTTTCAAAAAAGTAGAGAAAAATGAATTGAACATTACTAACCTTACAGGAATTAGCAGCAGCAAGAAGTGTAACTTTAGCTATGGTCCATGCTAGCACTTGGACGTCTGGACAGGTTGCAGTTCCTCGGGCATCTTAAGTCTTAAGTTTCTAGGCATTTTACAGTAAAATTTAAACATAACATGAAAAAAACCCACACTTTTTAAAAAAAATAAGAGTTCTATAATAAGCTAAGTAAGCCAAATTTTAGCAATTACTGAAGAATTAACAAGATATAATAAGGGAAAAGTAAATCTACTAGTGCTGAGACTTAGATATTCATAAGGGATATGTCCCAAGACCTTCTCAAATCCCCAAGTATCACTATAATATCTAATTTTCCTCATAAAATGCAGTAAAGTATAACTGAGATATTTAAATGATCCCCATAGACTCCTAATGATTCTATAGAAACAGAACTAAAGTCATTTATAATGCTATTAACATAAATTCTGAATTGAGCACTGGCTGAAACATTTTCAAACATCACTTTTTCTTGTTCCCATATAGAACATATGGTGAATTCATTTTTGTCTGTGTCATCACTGTATTTATTCAGAATTTCTATTTTCTGGCCAAGACTCATCAATTTTTTTAATGATTTCAATTTTTCTTAATTTCTAGCATAAAGATTAGCAACTGACTTTCTTTGGGAGTCATTTATCACAAAAGTTTTTTGATCAGCTCAAAAATTTAGTTTAGACTTCTAAATAAAATTTTAAAATGTCAAGGCTACACTTCATTGTAGGATTTAACAAGGAAAGCACTTGACAATGCAGCCCATTCTTAGACAAGTGATTCACTCACTGTGTGATTCAGATTCCTGACACAATTATGTATTAATATATGGTCTGTGGAATCATTCACAAATAGTTGAAATTGCAAATGTGTGGTCTATGAACTTCACATTTACTGCTGTATATAGTAGCTTTCTTTAATTCTTGCTTCTGTTATCTATCAATAATAATAATATAGAATTCATTTTTTTGTCCATGCATTTACAACTTATTTTCCCAGAGTTTATGATTTATTTTACTCCTGATACTATGATACTATGCCAGGGATTTAAAAAAAACAATGTAACATAGTCTCTGGCACATGATGAGTCACCACTGTCATTTTTTGATAACTATTTTGAATTGTCTTCATGCTCAAGCATGAATACAGTGTTTGGCTTGTGGCAGATAAAGATGCCATTAAGACAGAGAGCCTAACAAAATAATCACTTTCAAAGACAGAATTCCTAGACCAAAAATTTGCCTGTAGTTCTCCTTTGATATCACTATCACTTGCTATATTTATTTTTATTATATTGTGTTTACTAATATATATGTATATATACTAATAAATATACATCTATGTACAAACACATATATTTGTGCATCTTTAATAAGAACTGAATGAATTTGTGAGAAATTTTAAATTGCTTTATACACATACATTTTTATTTAGCTGTTTTAGCTATTTAAAAAAAATTTAAAAGCATTATGGCATTTTTAAGGGGATGAATTTAAAAAATGAAAGCAGGAAAATTACCACAGAGACCTCCTGTGTGTGCCATCATTTAAAAAAGCAGCTCAGAGTTCAGTGCTTCAAATACAAGAGCTGGGCAAGAGCGACACATGCTTCTGAACAGTGGACTAAGGCATAGAAATATCAGACGAATTCTCAGTGTTCCTAAGGATGCAGTTAGAGGATAACTAACAATGATTGTCTCAGTTGGGATGAACAAGATCTATACATACAAACATTAAGACAAGAGATAAAGCATTCTTCTGATGGAAGAGATTCTCTGGTTATAGGTGAGATAGTGACAAGAATCTCCCATTAACACTACAAAGTGGTAATTCTGTGAATACCCACCGTAATCTAAGCATTACAGAGCTTCTAAGTAGAACCTTAATCAGTTATATGCTTAATATAAGCATAACACTCAATTAATTTTATATTACCTATATTATGTCAGAAGAGAAGCTACCCTTTATTCTTTAGCTTCTCTAAACAGATGGCATCATCATTTAATTTGTAGCAAAACACAATGTACAGTGCTTTAAGGAGTTCAGTTTCTTAGTTCTGGTCTTCTTTAGTCTTCCTTCCTCCTTTTCTCTTTTAAAAGGGAAATCTCACCCCCTACCTGTAACCCATATGAACATGAGTGCAAACATCTACAGTTTTAGCTCTTTTTGAAAGATTTCATATAAAGTATGACAATACGTAGCTTTGCAAAACATTTGAATCATACAGTGAGCCTAGTGTGAGTCACTTGGCTATGAATGTACCCAACTTTTACAAGCTTTCTAACACCTGTATCTCAGTTTTGTGTTCTTGCATTACACAAAGCTGGATAGCAGAAACAGGCAATGATTATATAAGCCATCTCAGCATAACTTGTGCCCTGAAGTAGCATTTCATTCTAATAAAGTTTTTATGTAAAATTATGGATATTTTGATAGTGATTAATGCCTATGTTGTACCTTTGAGTATCAGTATTATGATTGCTCTTCCTGGTTGTTATTGAAAATGAAAACTAGGATCTTTAACTTTGAATACCTCGAATTCTTTGAGCAAAGAAAAATCTTAATTACATGAATTTACATCTCTAATATACCATGCCTAAATCCCAGGCTCCTTCTCTCCCCTTATCCTCTGGCTCTACTGTACATATCTCCTAGTTGAAATTATGTATTTGTTAATGTTTCCATTAGAATGGAAGCTCCATGAGAACAGTATCTTTGTCTTATTTACTATTAAGCCCTGACAGAGTAGCAGATGAAAAAAATATTTGTTAAATGAATGAATTAATGAGTATCACCAAATAAGGTTCTTAGAGGTGTATTGTGCAACATGCAACAAGTGGCAAACATTGCTATGCAAACAAGATAAGTGTGGCTGATGATGTCTGACTGTTAACCATGCACATACTTTAGTTACTGCACAAGTTCAGTTTTTCATTAAGCAATAACTATGACAATGAGACACAACAAGCAAATTATATAGAAGGGAACAGACAACCATCTTTGCAATTTCCTCGGAGGTTCTGCTAATTGAAAAGGAGCACACCCTGACTTTTATAGTCAGAATAATCGCTATTTATTTTTATGACATCATTTTATACTGTATCCAGATGAAATACATAATATTTAATCTCAAACAGTTGTTAATTTCCTAAATAAGAAATAAAGAACATAGATAAATTATTCTTTGTATGTTAAAATTTTATATGTCTGCATAATAATCAATAGTGTTATCAAGTTTGGACTTGAGATTTTCAGAAAAGCTAATAATACATATTTTTATTGTGGATTTTGGTGTTGTAGAATGATGAGAAATATCATGGAAATAAAATATCAAAATATTTACATTCTTTGTAAATTTATATATTGGTCAAGATTTATAATTATAGTAAAATAATCTGATTGTCATTCTTTTTTGTGTAATTTTGAGTTTCAAATGTAGGTTTAGACATTTATCTATTGTGATGATTATTTATGATGACTCAAAGTTATTTCTTACCCTTACTCTTTAGTAACCAGCAGAGTACTCCTCTAGCATCACTTTAATCCAGGATTAAATATAGGAACTAAGGAAAGCTAAGAGTGTACATTTATAACTCTGATTATACCCCAAAGAGTATACTTGATGTTGAATGTGCTTGTAATATAAATGGCTATTCTCACTCTAATATGGTTAATTCAAAGCTAATGGCATCACCACAAAAATGAGTTTATGCAAGATTCAAATTGGTAGCACTTTCATATTCTAAAATATATTTTGTAATGTTCATTGATATTCATGAAATCTTAACAAAATTCAAATTACCAGTATGCATCTTCTTTGGCCTTCTTTGATAGAGCTTTAGGCTTAAATTCATCCTACCAAATTGTCCCCAAACCAGGAAGTAATAATCAGAAGTTACCTCTCATTACCCTCAGATATATTTTCACTAACTTGTCATATTTTAAGCAAAATATTAGCTTTAGTAAATGTGCAATGAAACAAAGACATGAAATAAAAATCGCTTAATAATGAAGAACTGGTAGGATAGATTAACAGAAATTCAGAGTATTGTTTTCTACATGGACTAATTGCAACATAATCACAGTAAAACTTCAATAAACTTTAAGTAGATTTAATTATTTAAAAGTAAGCATACACCTCTCAGATGATTAACAAGAGTTTGGGGAGGATGCTTCCTAAAAACATACCTATATTTTAGGTAGTCTGAGCTACACCCTCCCCCTTCACCCCCCACACATACTAGTTGGAGCTCTCTTACTTATTTTAACTAATGTGTCTTGGTAATGTATAACCCTATTCATGCTTTCCAAATATTTTATTATATTGTCCAGTTATATCACAAGTAATATTCACTTATTCATCTATTTAATGTTTCTATTGAGCAATCAAAATAGAAATATATATATATCCCTAAGGAGAGATAAATGAAAAAATTAATTCTCTTAATGATTTTAGCAAGTGTGCATGATGTGAATAGGGAAGGGCATTATAAATAGAGGAAATGACATTAATAAATTCTGGCCTGGTAGTTAAAAATAAGTGGATTAAGATGACTATCCTAATACATTATATAGTGATTGGTTTGAACTGTGTATCATGGTTCATATGTTTAACATATTCTATGGTTTATTTCTTAGAAAGAATTGTGACCATAATGTAATAGAACTGTTTTAAAATGGATCCCTTTCATGTATAAGGTTCATAGTATTGCCATTATGAATAGGTATATTTAGATATCTTAGTGGTGTAGGTGGGAATTTGATGATTCATATGAGAGTTGAGGAAGGATCTATATTTATCTAGATATGAAAGCCCTACATGATCTACCCTGTCTTACTGGGGAAAGAGGAGATGTTAAAGACTGATTGTTTGATTATAGATGGGTGCTCTGCATCAATTGAAAGATCTACCTCTGTATCCTTCTCCAGTTGTCCCCACGGTAATGTATAGCTTCATAAATTCCCACTAGTGTCACACTCAGGGTTATTGACAACCTAGGTCTTTTAACAGGTAATATCTTCTAAATGCCTATTTTGGTCTGCTTGCTTTTAGTAAAAATTTGTTTTGTTTAAAAAAAAAAAAGCACCTAG